ATAGGCCTAGTGATCAAACCACAGCATCTGTAAGGCTCTGGTTTATGTATCTTGTATGCTGCAGAGAAAATGGTCATCGTAGACGGGCGCAGGGGCTTTGGTGTACGAACGTTATGGGCTGATGAAAGTTCAAGATCGGTGAAAACACAGTTATTGAGCCTTGGCGAGACCATATATGTCAAGAAGCGACCCGGAAGATCTTTCAAGTATGTTAGAACGGGTTATGCGAATCCGGTATGCTGTATTTTTGTGGGTTTTTCCATTGTTTTGTATTGATGAAAAGACGTTTCCAAGGTCAACGTCGTGACGCTTAGCAGGTAAAGTCTACGCCCATATGCGTAGGAAGATGACGGATGAAAGGCAAGATAGACTATGGGTTCGGGCACCCTGAAGAAGGATTGGGAGGCTCCTTGATGCCTGACAGCAAATGTATCCAATGGCTTCCTTGGTTCTAAGATGTAGCACCAGTCCCGTTACAGCTTCTTCGGGCTTTGCATGTTGCATCATGACCAATAACAAAAGCTTCAGAATCAACAAGAGCATTGCTGACGAATTATCTGGTTCACATGCCATAAATGTTAGAGGCATAAACCTTGCGGCATGATAACCGAGGCGATCTGTAGCATTGCTTTAATTAAGGGGTCCCTGCCCTCGACAGGCATATAAGTAAGAAGATGTCGGGCCTCATGTCAGCAACAAACTCGTCGAATCTCCTCAAATTACAGGACAGGAATCTTCACTATATCTAGGTAGTCTTGGTGTATACGTGGACTCTACGAGCTGACGAAGCGCTGAGGAGTCTCCAAGGCTTAGCCCTCCTTTTGAAAGCCAGCAGATCCTCCGACAGCTCAAATGATTGATAGTCAAAAACTAGACTCAATGGCAGCACTTCACAGAGACGACAACCCTCGTTTGGACTGGATTGCAATTGTAGTGAATAGAATCCGCAGTTGGTGCAGGAGTTCTGCATACAAGGCGGACTTGAGGCAGATTGTACACCATTGGTTTGATTTGGGGCTTTCGCAAATGCTTCGAAGCCATCTAAAGAGTAGGGATCCCTGAATAGCGGCTTCTGGAGGAGACAATGACAGCCATTCAATCACGGGATGAAGCTTTGTTATCACGATGCGACGAAATGAAGATTTATTGGCTTGTTGGTCGTGTTGTTGGTTGATGCTCAATTCGGCTGAGAGCAAAGGCATTGGGAATGGATGGATGGATCCATTGAAGAGGGCGGCAGAGACAGTGGGGGTGGGTGGGCTATATTGGCTAGGTATGGATCTCAGAATTAGGTCCCTGGATGTGAGTCGCCAGCACTTCAAGTCAGTCCCAAAAGAGACATTATTAGTGATAGACTGGGGATTGGTATAAGTACTAGGGTTGAAATCTTGTCACTTTTAGAGATTTTGAGTTGGTTGCATTTCTCTGTCACGTTGTTGATGATTTGCAAGGGCAACAACGGACCTGACCATACAATATCCCAAATGTCAGTCATTGGTCCTTTTGATCATTCTGGGTTCTTGAGAAAACCTAAACCAGTATGCAAAGACGGGCTCTTATTGGTTCGTATACCAAATTCTCTATTGGCAAGTAAATATCTTGCTGTATATGGCCCGTGTATGCAAAAAGCTTCGAGAGTACTCGCATCGAAGGCTAAGTTGACATTGTACATTAGAAGGTCACACTTAAACTCACACACGTGAGAGGGAATGAGAGCATGATTTTTTAAATTATAAGTATTGCACACGCTGTTGATTTCAGGCGTTTGACACCTTTTCAGTTCTGCAACCAAAATCTGTCGACGATTATATATATCGATCGAATCTACCACTCCCGTCTCGGAGCATCCCCTCTAGCATTGCCTGATTGGGTAATTATACAGTGCGATCTTGGGAATGACAGTGGTGGAAAGCACGGTGGTGACCCACCCGGACGAGTCGGACTTGGCGGACTTGGCTAAGCCTGGTACTGTTATTGCAACAGCGGAAACTGCCAATGCCGCAGCACAAACAACAGAAGATGAGATCACTACTCGTCCACGATCATCTCGCACACGATCAGATTATTCACTCCCTGTAAACGCCGCAATAGAGCCGCCCGCCAGCTCTCAATCCAGTCATTCGTCGAGTTGGTCCATCTCATGGAGCGATGAGATGCTAGAAACCTCAACCAGCAACCGCCGTTCCACGCGATGGATCGCGCGCGGACTTCCTCTGCTGGGGCTGGCACTCGCTGCTTACGCGATCTACAATGTCATTGTCTACTGCTGCGGTGAGCTCTGCCTTGCTGTGCTGCTGCTTGTCAAACATTTACTGACAATTAATAGTCCAGGACTTTATGCAAAAAAGGGGCAAGACGGCAGTCGGCGTTGTTCTAATTGCACTATGTTCAGTCCTCCTCCTTCTCATGGTCGCAGCCTACATACGATGCTACGTAACAATTCAATACAACCCTGGGTTTGTGCCATGGACAGCCGAAAGGGAAGCCCTCGAGCAGGAGCGTAACCAACGAGCGAGCAACGGAGGCGAGGTCGAGATACGATCGTGGGCCCCTCGAGACGACGAACTCGACAGCCCCGGTCTTGAGTCGTTCTACAGCAAAGATGTATTTGTTTGCGAACTCGATGGTTTCCCTAAGTGGTGCTCCGAATGCAGAAGCTGGAAGCCTGACCGGGCGCATCATTCCACCGAGTATAATTGTTGCGTGTACAAGATGGACCATGTCTGTCCTTGGATGGGTGGCATCATCTCGGAAACCTGTGAGTATTAGCCCCAAGGAAACCTTATGCAGTAACTAATACCTCAGCAGCCTTTAACTTTTTTGTACAATTTTGCTTCTACTGCGCTTGTTTTTGCATAATCGTCATTTCTACCAATGGCTACCTTACGAGCCTACGCCTACAAGAAGACAACGGTATCGATGCGCGACTCATTGTTGGTCTGGCGCTGGGTGGTCTTTTCGGCTTGTTTGCCATAACTATGACAGTCACTGCATTAAGATTTGCTTTTCAGAATATCACCAATGTCGACTTGTACAGGAAGAGCCAGACCTTCCGACTGGCAGTTCGTATTCCGACAGATACTCCTCCAAATGATCGATTCAACACCATCACCTACCCGCTAGAAAGACCCGGAGAGGGTCCCAGGGCCCCAGATGCAGCTCATACCAGTGGAATGACACAAGCGAATGGCGCTGCGTCCGCACGAGCAAGCGCAATGGCGGCTAGAGACCAACAAGCCAGACGGACATTCGCTATCCTCCAGGCAGAACCTGGAGAGAACCCATGGCACTTGGGTTACCTGCAAAACTTCAAGTCAGTCATGGGAGACTCGATCATCGAGTGGCTTCTACCCATCCGCCACTCGCCCTGTAGCCGCCACGATAGCATGGTGAGCGACTACCAGTTTGGGCCACTGGTGGAGGAGTTGAAAAGACGGTATGGACTTGAAGGGATCGATCCCGAGAAGAGGGCAGTGGTTATGACTTCGAATTAGATACCCAAATAGTTACACAAAGGCTCATATTATTTGTTACACGGCAAGAGGTGGAAGGGGATAGTAGTGGTATACGTAATGTTTAAAGACTAGAACTAGTTGGTATATTCCAGCTTGGACGCCAGAATAAGCGCAAAGACATGTGTGTTTTTCTTGTGTTTTCATTTGGATTCAGCTGCTAAGATACGCACCTGAACTCCGCAACAGCCGGCGCTCCCTGCTTGGATAGCGAAGGTGTTACTGGTAGCTTCAGAAATCTCGAGTGGAGGACAACGAAGGTACAGATATTAGGTAGCACTATTGTTCACGACAAATGAAAAGTTCATTCCGCAAGTATCACTTTTCAAATGCAGGCTTGCCCGCGGTTAGTTTCTATGGATGTGCAGTAACTTGAGTTTTCTCAGGGAAAAAAGATGCCTCATATTACAAAAACATACAACACCGGGGATTCGCTGGTCGTCACCGACCCAACTACTAATCCGGCGCGACCCAACTACTAATCCGGCTTCGCAGCTTGACTATGGGAGAGCGGACGGGATCCCGTATTCTCTACGAGCTTTGGTCGTATGTGCTTGAAGAGGTGGTGGCGAGCCTCATGTGTGTTCGTGCTGGGGATGAGTTGGGTGGTTGTGAGAGAGATCTATGGAGGGCCATATGAGCAATGCTCCGAGATCCAAGTTACTAAGATGGTCAGGTCACGTAGGCAGTGTCACTTGAAGAGAGGAGGGGACGTGCCCTGTACCACGATGGGTGTGATGCAGGCTGAAGCCATCGTGGCCTGCATGGTCTAGGGTGGCCATCACCGGTTGGATGGTTTTCTTGATAGGTACTCAACGGCCAAAGAACTTTCGTGTACATATGAACTTACTAAATACTCGCAATTCCACCTGAAAATGGGTAAGTTTATGGAAGATAAACTATTTCAGTGTCTTGTTGAGGTACAGCAATCTCTGGACCAGCATCTCAGTTGAATGGATGACGTGCATGTTTCTGCACTGTCAGGGGGCCTCGATAACGCCAAACAACACAATAATCCAAGCATGCAGCCATCACAGCGAGACTTGTTTCATCCAAAGAGCAAAGAGCTGAGATATTCTACTGAAACTATTAGCCTGTGATTGAACGGCAACTAAGGACAAGAAGGAACGAGGTTCGAAAGTGGATCTTGCTCTGTGAAGGAGTTGAATGGCACTGGCGCGAACCTATCACATCTCGTGTTCCTCCTTCCATTCACGACGTCTATCTTCATCTGTAAGCTCGCGACTCCTCGTAGGAGCATATGTATCTCCATTCTCTCAATTCTCTCAACAAGTTCAGCTCCAGCCCGCGAAGAGCTTGCGAAAAGAGCGACATTGTCGCACTGTTTGTGGCGTTCGCGGACACGAGAAATTATCCGTCAAGAGAGACATCGACCGCCTGCATTATCAACGCCTTGCAGTAGCCGCACAACACGAAGGCATTTTTCACCGTCAAGAAAGCCTTAAAATAATCGAAGCCTCACAATTTATGTCTTCGTCACCGCTACACAGGCCTCTCGGGGCTTCGTCACCACTCCTTGAAGGAGGCCGGCGGCGTTCCCAGTTCACGTATCGCCAATTCTCACAGCTTGCTTCGTCCAACACGTCGAACCCGCTGCGCGTCATTGCCCACATTGACCTCGACGCCTTTTATGCGCAGTGCGAGGCGGTTAGACTTGGTATTTCTGAGGACAAACCGTTAGCTGTTCAACAATGGTGAGCACAAATGCATTTCCTATTTTCCGAGTCCCTATCGAGGCGAAGCCCTGATTTTCCTGCACTCTCACACTTCTCATGGAACACAAGGTGTTTTCTCTTTTCTCCGATTCCTCAAATCCTCTACTGGACTGAGAATCGAGTCTGTTGCTCGATCCTCCTCAGTAGATGCAGCAGTGATTGGACACTAGCAATTAGTTTTCGCTGAGGCTTGCATCGTGTTACTCTCACCTTGCAAGATGGATCGTCACTAAGCATCTTCGTGCTTTTTTCCATGATCGTTCATTGTTCGCGGAACAGAGAATACTTCTCCTAAGAATCTCTGAAAAGCTGTAGAGCATGGAAATACCGGTCAACAATTCACCTCACAGCCTCCAAGAACATTCTCAGCAAACCCTTCCAAAACTCATATGTTAATTCTCCGAAGATCGTGCGTGACCTCTCGACACAGGTTGTGTAACACTTGATCCTTGTCGATCCACCGTCCTCGGCCACAAATTGTATGATGGCAGGCAAAGTTGTCACGATTACATTCGTAGGCGGTGGTTTTCCATAGCCAGGGAAATGAAAGCCTCGTTTTGCCACGCTGGGGTCCATGTCCAGTCCAGGAGCTCTGCTCTCCCCAGTTACCATTAGAGCGTTACTCCTAGCATCACGATTTTACAACTCTTTCGATTTCTGACATTCCAACAGGCAAGGTCTTATCGCAGTCAACTATCCTGCACGCGAATTTGGCATTGGACGCCATTGCAATGTCGAAGAAGCCAAAAAGTTGTGCCCTGAACTTATCGCCCAGCACGTAGCTACGTGGAGAGAAGGCGACGACAAGTGGGCATATCGTGAGGATGCCGCCGCTCACATAGCAACAGATAAGGTTTCACTCGATCACTATCGTCTTCAGTCTCGGAAGATCTTAGCATGTATCAAAGAGGCTCTGCCGCTTGATCTCCAGAAGGTGGAAAAAGCGAGTATTGATGAGGTCTTCCTCGATCTTTCGAGCCAAATCCACCAGATCCTTCTACACCGCTTTCCAGAATTATCAAACCCGCCCCCCTATGACGACCCTACTGAGAACCTACCCTTGCCATCCATTACCGCGCTCGACTGGCAGACCGATGCTTTGATTGACCTGGATGAGGAGCAGGAAACAATAGATCCGGATTGGGATGATGTAGCGATCCTCGTCGGATCTGAGATCGTTCGCAAAGTCAGGGCCGAAGTTCGGCAGAAGTTGGGATACACATGCTCGGCTGGCGTAGCAAGCAACAAGCTTCTCAGTAAGTTGGGCTCGGCATACAAGAAACCAAACAAACAGACTGTTGTACGCAACAGAGCTGTGTCTGCTTTCATGGCTGGCTTCAACATCACAAAACTCCGAAACTTGGGCGGCAAACTCGGAGAGCAGATCGTATCAACATTCAACACAGAGAGCGTCACTGAATTGTTGGATGTTCCTTTGGCAACTATGAAAGCAAAACTTGGCCATGATACGGGTCTTTGGATATATAACACCATCCGAGGTATTGACACAAGCGAGGTCAATTCAAGAACGCAGATCAAGTCGATGCTGTCGGCTAAATCTTTTCGTCCAACTATCAACTCTTTAGAACAAGCAATGCGATGGCTGAGAATCTTCGCAGCTGACATATTCGCTCGCCTCGTTGAGGAGGGAGTTCTGGAAAACAAGAGAAGACCGAAGACGATGAACTTACATCATCGCCATGAGGGACAAGTGAGATCTCGGTCGGGATCAATTCCTCAGGGCAGAGCTATAGACGAAGGCAGTCTTTTCGAGCTGGCCAAAGACCTCCTTTCGCAGATAATCGCAGAAGGAAGAGGAGTCTGGCCTTGTGCAAACTTGAGTCTCAGTGTAGCAGGCTTTGAAGACGGTGTCAAAGGCAACATGGGCATTGGCGCATTTCTGGTCAAGGGGGAAGAGGCAGACGCTCTTCGATCGTCGATTCCCGATAACCGTCAACATTCTACTGGACCGGAACCCTCCGCGAAGAAACGCCGCGTCGAGGATGGTGGCATTCAGCGGTTCTTCTCCAAGCGAACCTCCGCTGATCACGAAAGAACCTCCCTAACCGACTCACATACCCCCGGGGAAGACCCTAAAGATAGCTCTTTGCCATCAGACCCCACCCAAAAGACCCTCAGTTTCGCTACTAAGTATGATTATGAGGCCCGCCATGAATCCGACCTTACCATGCATGCGTCTTACGCATCACTGTGGCATGAAAGCACCTTCGATGTGCAAGTGGATCAACAGCAGCCTTCATTGACCGATGTTGTATGTTCTCGCTGCAAGGCCAGCTTCGCGGACCCGGAAGCGTTGCAAAGCCATAGAGATTGGCATATGGCCAAAGATCTACAAGACGCAGAACGTGTCAAGCCCACATTCGCTGAACGACAACCTGCTGCACGTAACTCTGCGCAAAAGACGCAAGGAACCGCTTCAAGAAGGAGCCGGGGAGGCAAACTTGAGCAAGGTCAAAGTCGGCTCAAATTTGGTTGAACAGAAAGTGATTACTTGGCGGTTTCTCGCCTGAGCTTTTGCAGGTATGTGTTGCAATTGCTCACGCTCACTTTGTGTTATCGTCAACAAAAGGTCACGGCATGATGGTAGGAGGTAACTCGATGCACCGGCATCAGCTTATACTTGGGCTTTGCCGCCAGAAGACGAGATGTTACATTGGCTGTTATCACCATTCTGCTCAGCATACACGAGACTTGGACTTGTTCGTACAGTCGTGGCTGTGCGATAATCCACTTTTCGTTGGCGTTCTGAAACCCCCTGAAGAAAGAGGCAGATGCACAATTCAGGGAACATGCAGATTCTTGGTCACACAAGCCTGTCAAAACAACCGAAACGTCTTGACAGGTCGGTAAGACTGCGAACAGCCGAAGCGTTCATCAGGGGGATCAACAAAGTATCAAGGCTGTCGTGCTCTCACGCACGCGTCTCATCTTGAATCAACGGAGAGGCCGGAAGCATGTTAATAAAACCACAGTCTGCTGATGGAGGTACAGAAAAACTATCGAAGTTAATGATAAAATGTACGACTTCGTGGGATGCCAAGACGTTGACAAGTTTGGGTCAAATCTCCCTAGATGATTGGACAGCAAGGCTTGGGCACCGAACACATGGACCTGCGGGCAGAGGGTTGGGCTCCAATTGGTGCAGGCATTGCTACCCAACCCACCCTCCAAAGTGCAGCCGAAAAGCCAGCCGCCAGCCACTCAGAGACTGAAACCGGGAATAGGCCTCAAATGCAGCTGCGGTATTGTTGGAATATCGCAACATCTGACAAGTATCCCGCTGTGGAAACACGTTGCCTATCATTTGTGGGCGTTAAAGGTTGCAATTCACGGTCAGCGACAACGACTGGGACATGGCATGGAGAAACAAGGAGCCACCGGAGTAAGGATGCCCAACGTCCCGAGACAGTTGGGCGAGACCAGATATTGCAACCGCATCGGAAGAGAGGCACAGCTTTCCTTGCGAATCGTGACGAAGAGCTGAGTAGAGTTACGACCAGCTCCATCTATCTACGTGTCGCTTAGAGTTGAGGAGCGATAGTGAATCTGCACGTATCGGGAGTATTGAATACTTGCCGAGAGATATAAAGCAGCAGTGTGAGGTGTATGATGAGCTGAGGCGATGGCACAGATTGTGGCCGCTCATTCTTCTCGTCCACTCTCGTTCTTCTGTCACTTCGACAAGGTAGCCGGTAGCCTCATTCTTACAGATCACGGCACTTCCCTGGAAAAGGAAAACAAAAAACCCCAAGTTGGAAAGCAATACGTCATAGTACCCCCATCATTATTGTCCCTTCGCGCCTACAATTTACCTCACGGCACTACAGTACTAGTCTCGCCTACAAGCGCTGATCTCTTGAAAGAAAACAAAGTTTGATGTCGCCTATTCGAGTTTCGTACGAGGTATCTCAGCTCCGCTTGAGGGCGATCGTAACTTAGAGACGGCGTACCGTCATTATTATCCTACCACAGACGGGGGAGAAGGCTCGAGTGATCGTTGGGCATCGTCAAAACAAGGGATAGCCTTGTACGCGAGAAACAGAGCGATATTGAGAGTGTCATCTGCCGCGCATGCTATTGATATATGCAACTTGTTTGGTTGTCAATAGCTGTCCCAAAGGACCCGGACATTCTGCGTTGCCAGCACAGACAAGGTGATCCGTTTCGATCTTTGATCCGGACCGCGACGGGTTCGATCTTAATAAACGACAGGTTGAATCGTTTCTACATGTTCAATTTTCGAGAATTGATATTTCAATCAAAGTACCCCATAACTGACGCAATTTCGCTATCTTTGGAACAAACAAGGGACAAGCCACGTTGCGACCCGGACGACGAGACATCTGCACTTCCTTAATGGGATAAGACAGGAAAAGTGGCTTACAGCGCACCTGTCACACCACACGAGGGGTACATGACGGTGCAAAACTTCAGTTGACAGGATAGATGCTAAGTCCTAGGTACGGAACTTTGAACAGTTTCGCAGAAATTCGACAAGCCTTGTCGCGGTGTTAAAAGTCAATTGACAACAAGCGGCGCTCGCCGTGACCGCCACCGCAATCATTGATCATTCACCATACGGTAGGCTGTGCTGTGACTCGCCAGCCGGAAACCGCTTGGTCGCAGAGTCACAAGAAAGTCGAGACCAGAATCTGGAAGCGGGATTGAAACCCAGAGCTTCTCAACTGACAAGCAGAGGGTTTAGCCCAGCCGCTCGTGGTGCCCAAGTGTCGTCAGTCACCGCTAAAGTCAAAGCCCAACCTCGAGACCAAGACCCAGGCGGGCAAGGCAGAGGACGCGCTGTAGAGCAAGCTCTGCAAACCCAGGACGTGCCAACCGCATCTGGCTTCGGCAACGTCCAACGGTCCACCAAAATAGGTCGCCACTGGACGCAGGGTTGTTGGCAGCACGGAACAGACAAGGGCCAGGCTAGCCAGGATCAGGATCAGTATCAGGGCACCCACGCACGAGGCCAGCGCCAGTTGCAGATCCCGCAGCTTGGTGTTGGGCTCGGTCAAGGAGGGAGACAAGCGTCCGGCACGGATAGTCCCAGGGAAGAATCAGTCATCGCGTTGACAGCCCAGCCTGAAGAGGAAAACTCCTCATCAATAGACGAGGTTTTAGCAGAGTCTGCGTCTTGTCTCGAGCAGCCGGGAGACCCCAGCTTATACTATCTTGGCTTACTGCAAAATCAGAACGAGCTCCACCACAAACATCACAACACCCAACAGTATCAGGGTTTTTTGGGTGATGACCCATCAATATCAACAAGTCATCAGCAACCTCAACCTTCCGGGTTTGGTTATCAGCATCAGCAGAACCAACCTCCTGCATGCTCATCGCCACCATTCTCATTTACCTTCCCCCCTCCAGCACCTCCATCCTCAGCACCAGCAACATCTGTCTTTGGACTGGCCCCTCCTCCTCCTCTGCCTTCTCCTGCATCTCCACCAAGACCACCGCCGAGGCGACGCTTCCAGCCAACTACATCTCGCCGTCAGCAAAACCTGTCCCACTGCCGGTCAAATTCCAATCTGAGCTCAAACTCCAGTGTCAGCACTGGTGCCAGCAGGCGTCTTCTGGCCTCTCGGTCTCCTGCAAGTCACTCTGCCAGTGGGAAATCCCCTCGTCAGCGCCTAGCATCAGCACCACCATTACCACAGCCAATAGACAGTGCAGACCCACAGGATACGCCCACCGCCCACCACCGCCATTCGCCTTTTCTTCCTCCTCATCCTCACCTGCCCGCCTCTTCTCTTTCTGCCTGTTCTACCCTCTCAGCTCTCTCCACGTCGTCTCCCTCCTCCCCCATTTCCGGCTCCATCTCCTCTTCTCCCGCACTTCTGTCGACCTTCTCTTCCATCTCTTCTTCTTCCTCATCTCATCTTACCTCTTCGTCGGCCATATCCTCCCCACACATCAACATGTCGAGATCATCACGGAACGCTGCCCCTACCACTTCTGGTACCGGACGACAAAACGAATACTTCGTCCCTCGAGATGGCATCGACCGTGAAGTCATCTCCGCCGACATCTGCCGCTATCTGGGCAACGATGCCCTCGTGCGTCCCGGTCATTACGAGGTACGCTATCTGCCTTAATGAACCCCACCATCGCGATAAAACAAATGACTCACATTTCATGACGACAGAATCCTCAGACAGGTCAAGCCGTGCAAGGCTACTACATCACCGCTTACAGGAATCTTACAACTGTGAGTTTCTTCTCAGCATCAATAACCACTCATAAGATACTAATGATGATATGCCAGGCTATGATTGAGGATCTAAAAGCGGACTCTGCTCGATGGGACAGTGAAAGGCGTGCGCAGACGTCGCGCAATACCTCTGGAGGTACTATTGCCTCGAGAAACGTTGGCGTACCGCCGAGACACTCATCTAACTCACCTGTAGTGCAATACCGCTACTCGGAGACGCATCAGTCGCGTCAGCACCACGGTCCTACCGAGGGCCCTTATCAAACCGACCCATACGCTCGTGACCCTGGCTTTGATGGTCCCAGATACCCAGGAACAGGTGCTCCCGGTTACACTGGAGCCGCTGGCTCATACGGCCAGTCCTACGGTGCCTCAAGTAGTGGTGCGTTTGCCGGTTATGCCCAAACCCAGCAATCTCCTCCCCCAGCGGATGCAAGGTTCAGCTCTACTACCGCGGCCACCATGGATCCATCCTACCAGGCTTCCCAGAGCCCCTACGTTGCCGTTGGAACAAACCAACGCCCCAGAGGCGGATACGACCCTTACGCTAACCAGATGGCCACATCATCAGCTGCTGCTCAGCAGGCCTATGCCACTGCTGCTCCCACGCAACAAGGCTACACAGCCACTGCTTACCCATATTCAGGTCAGGCTCCTCCTGCGGGCTACGCGATGCAGCCCCAGGACCCCTTCTACGGTCGTGGTGCGTATAGCGGAGGCAACACTCGCGCGGCGGGTTTCCACATGGTCGAATTACTAACACTCAAGGTTTAGCAGGTCAATCAACAGCACAAGGATATACCCAGGCCACACAGTATGAAGAAACCCCCCGTACTCGCGCTTCCGCGACACCAACAAATACTCAAACAAATCCCAGTGGTACCTCCAGCAGCCGACGTAGTGAGCGAGAGAGCGACAGGCACAGCACAGACCGACACCACCGATCAAGCCGCCGGTAAAAGGTGTGTTCTCCGGAGGACCAAGGCCGGATCTTTGTGCCCTTCCGTTTCCTGCCTGAACTTGACGAGGCAATCCGACCTCGCGAGTGTGATGATTTCTGCATAATGACCGGGTTACATGGAGTACGGCTTGTTTTCCTTGGATCGACCATTTCATCCTTTTCTGTTTCTTCCGGATATGATCCCCTTCAGAGGTTTCAGATTTCTTTTCTCTGGCTGGTGCCGCCACCAAGTTGCAAGTTTGCATCTCAATAGGAGCTCCCTACTGGAAAGGTATCACATTCCACCCTCTGGACGCTGATTCCGTCTTCTACGAACCTGGATCTCCCTTGGAGTCGATAATACCCCTGGACGTACCGTGCCAACTGTTATTGCTTCCGATTGATGCCTCGGATACACGAACTGGACCTTACGAGACGCATACCTGGGTGTCTTTTTTCTTTACTCTTTTTATGACGACTTTGCATTGAGGATGGGCCTTTCCTGGATTGACGACCTCATCGACTATACACCATTATTTGCCTTACGGATGAGACCATGCTGCATACGTTTTATACTGGAACACGGCGCTGAGTTGGGAAAAGGTAGGGGAGCCATCCCTTACCGGGTGGATCTGGGGTGGTATCTCGATGTCATGACCTTGCTGTCCGGACGCGCCCTCAGGGGGAGTATTCTGTTTTCCGTTCTTCCTGGATCTGGCTGGTTCTTGCTCTCGACTCCAATGTCTTTAGCTCCCGGATTCTTCGGTGTTTAGCATCGTGGAGACGCGGTGTTTATCGGAATAATAATTGGCAGAGGCCGGCATCCGGACAGCAAGGTGAGTTTGAACGAGCTTGTATATATTAGCCAACCATTTTGAAAGGAATTTCTGCTTCCCCTCGCTTTCCCCCCCTCTTCCCGTTTCATTCCACTTAGGGACTTTCCATGGATATTCTGTCTTGATATGAATCGCAAAGACACTGACTCGCCAGACTTGACTCAAGCAGCTAGGTGCACAAATGAACTACCTGGACTCAGATACCTCTTCCTGGACTTCCTGGACATCTTGGACTCTGATCAACCACCTGGCAAATACTTTCCCGCTTGACCAAGGAATGGACCTACTCCCTGAGGATGTTTGCTTTTGCCTGGATCTCTTCCTACTCGAGCAATGTTTTGCTTTGGATCCTATGACCTGGACAACTTACCTCAGCCGAGGTTTGCTCATTCGTCACTGACGATGCCGGTACTCATTTGCATCTGCAATGGGTTGCCTGGGACACAAAGAAACAAAACAAGTATCTAAGCATACCCTGCCAACGGAGCCAAGGTAACATGCAAACAAGGTGATTCAATGACTACGAATCTGGATTCATTCTCGTTTCACATCACTGGATCGCAACTTGCTTCATTACTGTCTGCGACATGGGTCGCTTGTTGCCATGGATTCTACTGAATCCGTTCCTGTTTGCATCGCGGGCCGACTTCTTGAGTAACCTTTGGGATGAGTCAACTTTCTCAAGCCTGGATATTTGCTACACCCTGCTGGCCACATGGCAATTGTGAAAGTCGGCAATTTAGAGCAACCTGGCGTGTGGATACCTTGATCCTGGACTCGCTGCGTTGCATATGCAGTCAGTTATCGGAACGACATTTCGACCTTTCAATCAAGCGCAACGTGACTTCCGGAGATGTACATGCGTATATCACGACACTACTGGACTTTGATCAAAACTGGAGAACCGGATCTTTTTTATGCGAATGATTGTGTGCTTGGTACTGTGAGAGGTAGCCTGCTTGGTAGCATGGATGGCGCAGTCGGAGGATGAATTGAATGGTTAGACGGGTTGGCTCTATGATCTACTTTTCTGTTACTTTCTAATCCCGGATCCCGTGGACACATCTCTTTTGACGGTTTGGTTGTTTTGCGTCTATCTCATATCATATGGTTGTTGAATCTCAATGGTGCTTTGGGACAGATACAGGGAGTCTATGAGTCTTGTTTCTTTTTCGCTTGGGGCGGAATGTTTGGGAGAGTTGAATCTCATGATTTATTATTGTTGCAAAAGTATGTTGAATGAATACAAGAGTTGGCCACACCACTATCAATATGTTTTCTTCAAATTAAGATTCACCTTCGAGCGAAACCACACAACAAATTCCAGCATTTTGCTAAGCAACAGACACATGTCTTCGCTGCCTCAAATACTTGCAGTAGGGTCGGTGCATCTGACATACCTCACTCACGGTCCAAAGCCGGGCGGCTCCTTCGCCGGTAGGGATGGTAGGAGTAGAGTCGTTGGTGAGTGCAGTGAGATGTGTGATGGTGTCTCGGAGGTTGATGGGCTCGAGAGGTAGGCTCCGACGGGAGCGGCTGAAGGAGGCCGTCTCCAAGCAGAGTATCGATCACAGAGAGGACCCAAAGCTCGCAGCGGCCCGGTCTGCCAGGAGCGTTGGCAGGCTCGTAGGGATCGAATGGTCTTGGGTGACTCTTGATCATAGCGCACGCATTGTCGAGTTCCTGGGACGCAATGGAGCCGACACATCTGCTATCATGAATGGTGCCGACCTGACCTAGAGTCTCGACGATATCCGAGACCAGAGTCATGGTAGGCTGCGGATGTTCAGGGTTTGACGATTCCAGAACATGATAGAGATAGCCTGCCGGTCGCGGAGAACTTGTTGGAATGAAGATCTTGTGAGTGCCAGGGGAGTGTTGAATATGAAAGACCTGATACCGAGCTGGCTCGGGGGTTTGAGCTGGCGGATTGGCGACAGGATCAGAGCTAGAAGCCTGGGCAGAGTCGGAGCTGACTGGGAAGATCATTGTGGGAAGATAGGTATTGATTGGCCTTAGGATGGGTTTAGAATGTCTGGACAGGCACTGGATTGAGAAGTTCTTGTGAGTCTTTGTCCTGGCAAGTTGGCAGGAGATTGCCTCTCAATATGTAGGCTTATGTATCAATTCTTGAGCAACACCAACCACACTGGCCATGGAAGCACGGCAGAGAGCTAGTTGACCAAAACTTGTTGGTATCGTCTGGCAGGCTGTACGAACCCGTGAGTATCGTAGCATCAGGGTGCTGCGAGAACCGGGGGGCTCGGTTTCGAAGGCTGCAGGTGTCCGCAAGCCAGGCCACAGTAACCATGATGATCCGAGTTGGCCGTTGGTGTTGATGCGGGAAGTGATCGACCATATTGTATATCTCTGGGATATACGCCGAAAAATGTTGTTTGGGTCAACGAAAAGGGTGTAAAATTTGTCCGAAAGGTAAGTCCGCGGCATCGGGCGGGCAGTTGTGTAAGCTGTGTGATGAAGTCCAAGCCTATTGCTCGTCCCGAGGCTCTATAGAAGCTAGTGCTCTGTGACAGGACAGGAACCCAAGCACCTGCCCATAGCATGGAAGCCCCAGTCGAGTCGAGTTACGCATATGCTGCAGGCAAAGCTCATAATAGATACTCGCATATCGAGCTAGCATGCTTGGACTGAAGACAAGAGAGATTCTGCACTAGGTACAGGATCAAGCTGACGTGCGCTGGAGGACAAGTGCAACCGCATGACAGAGCGGAGCGTTCAACATATCTAGCCTTGTGTGGAAACTCGGCCGCCCTGTGCAATGGAGAGATAGTTCGCGATGAACTCGCTTGACACGATGGCGTCAAGGTCGGCATGATACGCAACGGCACGGTACGGTACGGTGGGGGAAGGCGAGTCGGGTGGCTGCGCAAGCTCAAACCAAACACAAGCCTAGCTTGTGGTGAGTGTTTGTTGTGCTACGGGAATTAGAAAGATAACCGCCCACATTCTTGATGCTTTCATTTCTTGGATCTATCGTGCTGGGGTATTGACAAGATTCACACAGACTCAAGGATAGCGATGGTCACTAGCCCTTCATTCCTTATTCAGCCATCTTGGCCATGGTTGCAGAAAGTGATCCAGGTACTGCGCAAATGAGAATAGGCAATTAGCAAACAAGCGAAAAGTCTTTTAGATAAAACCTACTACCCAGGAGCGACCGCATCTTTCAGTATTTCGGTAAGACCCTAGTATTTGTTGGCTTGGGGTTTTGCGATTGGTCGTCTTCGTATGCGAGTGTTCCGGCGTCAAACGCTTGCGCTTGATGAGCTGGCTGGTTTGGAACGCAGTGTTAGTATTGTGTGTTCGACTCCATTGGAATAGTGGGATATTACTAACTTGCTGGTCGGTCACAGTCCTCAGACTGTGGAAGGGGTGAGTGTTTAGGAAGGTATTTTATGCGGTATTCCGTGGGTCTGGTTGCTCAACATTGTGATTGAATAGTCTGTTTGCATTGCAATTTAGAGGCTTGAAGGAGGCGGCAAATGAGACAAGTTGCAAGGGTTTGTCTCTTGGATTACAGGTTATGAAGCAATGGAGATGATGGAAGTGAGAAGATGAGATGGATGGGTCGTGACAGGAGAAAACAGCCCGCGAGGGCGGAGACAGGCTAAGGTACCTACCTAAACTTCCATGACCTTGGACAGGTTGACTGCAGGCAAACGTCTTACAGAAAGCGCGAATTTAATGCAATAACCTTCCAATGTCATGGCCAACTGCATCTCGCAGGAAGGAGCCATCCTTGGTGAAACTGCAACTACCCGTCACGATCTCCGCGTGACTGGAAACCGCCGTATCCGCACTTGCCACTTCTAAGGTAAGGTAATGCATGCGGAGAAACTCGATCAACATGTCAGAAAATGGAAGGAGCTTATGGTGACGGCGAACGAACGACAGCTACCTTACGTACCTTATTGTTGCTAATGGAAGATGGGCCATGGATGAACAACATCACTACCTTAGTACCTAGGCAGGCAAGG